ATGGTTTTGAGAGTGAAGAGTTTCAGATCCTGAAAGGAAGAAGCAAGGTAAACAACAAAATTCTATCTCTGAGCTTCAGGGGAGAAATTTTTGACCTGTTCAGGACCTGTTTTGCAGTATCCTGTCATAAACTCCCCTGGAAAGGAAAGGGGCCCAAGAAAGGTGGCTAATCTTCCAGAACAGCCTCCTTAGAGCACAGAATCAATCCCTTACAATGTGCATGGAGTCACACAAGTGTGACAGAGGCCAGGATGGATGAACTCCTAACCGAGATGCAACAGGAGGATGGGAAATTAAAATTAGATAATAATAACAAAAATTCTATGAGGGTGGTTAACTACAGGACCTGGTTACCTGGAGAGACCTAACCTTGGTATTCAAGACTAATGTGAACATGGCTTTGAGCAATCTGATCTGAGTAAAACTTTTCTGAGTAGGGTATTGAACTAGATTACCTCTGAACGTGTCTTCAGGTCTGAACTATGATTCTATGACTCAAACTTCAGTTGCCAGTGACTCAGTTTCTTAAGCAGTAATAACTCTTCCTTTAAATCACAACTGAAGAAAAAACAAGTACCGAATTGAACAGGACATGGTTTACAATGGATTTTTGGAATAAAAAAAAATGTCTGTGGCAAATTTGAAATGCATGGATTTCACCTAGAATCCCAGAATATGGGTAAACTTTGCAAGTTGGGAAACATTTTTTTTATCTATGAAATTAACGCCTCCTCCTCCTCTTGCCTTTATTTCTTGCTGCTAAACCAGAAGAGACTGTGGCAATGGAGCTGTAATCAGCATTCCCAAGCTGCCTTAAAGCCTCTAGGACAAATGCAGTGTTGCAACAGCTACCTAGTGCTGGAATACAGAAGATACTATGGGAAAAATTTGGAAGAACAGAACTTCTTGAATAAAGATCCCTGCTCAGTCATGAGCAGAGCAAACCATATAAGCACCAGGGCCAGTGATGGCAGCTTTAAGAGCACCATGACATGTTCATCACCTTCATTGAGATTTTCCAAAGCAGAGGAAAAAAAGATAAGACTTCAGCTTACTTGGAATATATTTGAATCTTGTTTGACCAAAAGAAGTATTGTTTACAGTAATCCATGGTTATGCATTATTGCTGTGTGCGCGGAATGTTACTGTTCCTGATGCTGTACAAACGCAAGCAACCTGGAGGAAGGTGTTTTATTTCAGGATATAGGTCAACTGCAGAGGAGGGCATCTGCAAGGGTTTCCTTGAGGCCTGACAGGGATTGTTTGTTGCAGCAAGTTGATATACAAGAAGTTGGAACAGTGGCCTTGAGGCTTCCCCTGAGAATGAACTACATTATAGCCAAAAAGAAAAAAGGCATTCTTGATCTCTATACTGAAGAGGCAGGTTTGAAATGTGACCAGAAATAAATCACTTTTGTGCAGAGAAACGTTGTTTCCCATGTACAACACAGGGAAGGAAAAAAAGAGATGCCTGCAGAGAATGGAGAAGAGCATTCTTTCACACTGAATAACTATGCTGAAGGGACAGGAAGTTTGGTAGGGGAATGTACCAGCCTATATACGTGCAAGGTGTTCAGTGTCAGACGTTTGGCCAGGGGATCCCATCACAGTTTTTGCACATAAATTTCTGTGACAAGGATGAGGGTAATGAATCTCCAGGTAATGAATCTTAGTCTCACAGTGTTCTGGCACCAGAGAATGAATGCCAGTAGCTCAGGGTCTCCACATTCTGCAAACAGCCAAAGATCTCCAAGATGGTGCCTGGCATGGCTATCAAACCAAGTATGAGTGTTACAACTGTGACTGCCAATTTTTATTTGTAGCAAACAAATGGGGATTCCTACAGTAATATGTGATTTACTCTTCATTTCTTTCACGTAATATGCAGGAATTAGCCCTTCTTTAATTCTGTGCGTCAGTGGTCTCTGCAAGGCCCATGCAGGGCTCAGATTTTCTTTTGTGGGCAATACCTCAGTTTTTGGCCTGAATGTATAGCACAGTTCAAAGCAAAAGCAGGAAGAAGTTAGGAAAAAAGAACACATGATATGTTTTAGCAAAACAAGTCAAATCCACCACTGTAAGAACAAGAAGATTTTTAAGGCAAAATGTTTTTTGGTAAGAGCATGGAAGAGTAGGCCATGAGCACCAACAGCAACAGAAGTATCTGGAAAAGATACATTGGTGGGGGAATTATTTTGGGATGCGATGAATAAAAGCAGCAGTTTATTCTTGTCTTACACACATAGCACAACATACAGAACCAGCACAAAAAAACTTACAAAACCTTGTACACCATGCTTCCTCTCTGATAGCTTCTATTAAGTTACAACATCATAACAAATCAAGTATTTAGTTACAACAGATTTCCGGATATGGATAGTCTCCCATACAGGGAGTTATTATTTTTGTAAGCTACTTAGACAAACATTATTTTTTACATGTTTAATACAGTACAGTATCCTTAACAGAGTTCCAGATATTCACAATGAGAATCGAATACTCTATAAAACAGCAGAATTTCTCATCTTGGGACAGGCCTACATTCAACCCTGCCTTGTCTGGTTCACAGATGTGTAACGAGTCTTCATTACTCCACTTCCCAAGCTAAATATTATTTTAAATTAAAAACAAAATTCTATTTACATTTTTTTTCAATTTAATAAAAATTTTTGTTCCCTCTCCCCCTCCTATCCCCACCCCCACAAAGAACTTCCATTTATCTTGTAGAAATATTAACTGTCAGGCTGATATGGGCACTTGAAAAAAAATGTTGACAGCATCTTGTTGGATGCCCAAATGAAAGATGGTCTCAGCCCATGATTAATTCCCTTTTTTTCCTGATAGATATAAGAATTTGTGTCCAGCAAAGACAGATGGCTGCTGTCATCCATTTTTAGAGATAATGTACTACTTATGGGCCAATATATAAAACCTCATTTTTATTTATTTTAAGTACAAGGTGTCCTACTCCCTTTGTCACAATCATTTTCATGTAAGTTCTTTTCTTACTAGTACTTGTAACAACTCTGCTGTTATGGCACTGCCATAAACCCTCCCAAACTGCATTATATCAAACAGTACCTCTCCTTAACCACAGCTTCATTGGTATTTCTGGGTTGATTCTCAAGCAAGGTTTTATTCTGATTGCACTTCAAGCCCCACTGAAGCCTATGGTCATCTTTAATTTCTCAGCTTTAGATTAGAGCTGCTATAATGAGGTTGGCAAACTCTAGCCCTTATGCAGCTAATCAACATTCTAAAGAAATAAGCAAAAAAGAGTCTTCTCCTTTATACCTACAGTATGTGTTTTGTTTTGTTTTTGCATTAAGCATTATCATAAAAGACATGTTTACGTTATTTTGAAAATGTATTTTTACAGAACTTTATAAACACTGTCATATCAAACACATTTTCAAAAACTGGAGAAATTACCGACACAAAACCCAAAAGAGAATTCTTCCAGTGCTATACTTGAGTATTTCTTATTTCAGCATCCTTTACTGCAAACATGATTTGGCCATATGAGAACAAATAAAGTCAACCAAAATGCTCAAACAGTTTTCAATAAGACTTGGATATGTTCTTTAACGAGCTAATTTAATATCTGATGTCTTCCTTTTACTTGTATGACCGTTCTGCTACCTTTATTCACACATAGCAATTCTTTAATTCCCGGATAGTCTCATTCACTTGAGTGGTATTCAGTGGTACATGTGCAAAAAACACATATGCAAAAATACTGAAAACTGCTTTTGCTCTTTTTAAATCTTTGTTATTTCCACAGATAAGAATTTCTTCATAAAAAATCTAATTGAAAAGGACAGAAGACTAATATTTGCGAAGAGTTCTGTATCAGGAATCAGTGTACAAACTTTAGGACGTAATTAGCTTTCACTTGTGCTATAGTTCTGACAGCTTAAAAATGTGTCTGCCGTAACAAGGAGTAAATTTCACAGGCCTAAGAGTTTCTTTTCTATACTTGTGTATGTTACACTTCATAATCCCCAATTTTTCACAGTTTAAGAAAGTTAATATGTACATATGCCACGCTAACATGAAATCACGATGTTATTTCTCATATCACCACCAATTTTCATTACAATCAGTAACAGACATTAACGCAAATGATCTAAGTGAAATGTATTTTTTTCAAGTAGTTTGCCTAACATGATGTCGCATGAATTATAATGTGAGCTTGGGTTCCTATCTTGCAGAATTTAGAAGTGCATTAAACTTCATATGTTGGGAGTAGTGTTATTGACTGTAGTGAATTCAGGAAGTTAAACAAAAAAAAATAAGAAAATGAGGAACAACTTTCGATACTACTAAATACTAATACTATTAGACTGCTTAAAATATAATTGGTGAAAAAACACTGACTGTAGTGTTATGTATGTTGCCTCATTTCAATATAAATATTTTCTCTTGGCTAGAAATACTAGAAGTGACACTGTTTTCAGAGGAAAAAATGCAAACCATACTTAAATCCCAAATTCTCACCATACTGTGTTATGTGTGGTAACCCATGAAGGAGCCCTTTGACAAAACAACAATGTTAACTTGCTCACTGACTTTGAACATGTATCTACTGTAGTCCGTGTAATAAAACTCCATGTTATATATATACATATTAAAAAATCCAAGTGTAAATAATTAAACAGTAATCCCACACATAGAACAACTAGCTGCACAGGATGTGATATGTAAAGCAAATCACTGAAAAAATCTTTTCAATCTTTGGGATGACCTAAATATAAGAAACCAAAACTTACAAATAATGATTGAATTTTCATAAGAGAAGGTTTCTGATGAAGGGACAGAAGGAATTCTCTCCTGCTTACCCTCATTCTTAATGTTTTTTATAGAGTCAGTCCTTTCCTCCAGTAAACCATTTTTTTTCTTCGATGCAGCAATATCTATTAATGAATCAATATTCTTTTGTATAACAATACTGATAAGGTTTCCAGTGAGTTATTCATAACAGGTAGGCTGTTCTTATTGAAGTTTAGGGCTATGTAAACTCCAGAAGAATAAAAATCTCCGGTCAAATTATGTTATAGTCTAATGAAAAAGAAATTTCTTTATTTAATGTGAAAATTCAGCAACCTTCTATTCTGATAATTCAATCCAGTCTTTACACAATCCCCAAGAAAAGTCTTGTAGTTACAAGCCTGTAATTATACACAGCAAAGAAAGGAAATTGCTCCTTGCTAATGGAAATGTATATAGATTTTTAAGTTCCAACCCCTCTCTCAGCTGCTAACCATCACACAACATGTGCCATTTGGCAATTTGTCTCCTAGGATATTCACAAATCTCCTTCCAGTGCTCTCCAGCTGTTCCTTCTGCTGAAGATCCCAGGGTTAACCGGCCAATGACCTCATTCCTTGACCCCCTATCTGAATCTAAAACCAAAAATTCAATGCTGATATCATCAAGGCCCTCACAAGGAATGTCAAAGACAAACAATTCATTGAACACAGCATTCGGGGTGCATTTCTTCACATGGGTTTTCTTTTTTGAAATTCTCTTCTTAGCATGGTACAGGTTCACTTTGACATAAGGATCTGCAATGGCAAGAAAAAGGACATACATTAGCTATATGGTTCTTCAGAAATTCGTCAATCTTTTTAATGGTAAGCTTTGTAATATACCAGCATAATTGCATCACAAAAGGCATTGTTTCAATTTATGGAAGATGATTCATCTCATTTAACTTTGATGGTCATATCTCAGTCAGTCCCTTTACCTTCCTTTATAGTCACCAAAAATGTAATCAATATCACCAGCAAAGTTCAGGGCATAATGTGTCCTTCATGACATTAATCCTCCCTGCTAATCCATTAACCTGAATGATTACATCATCATTGCACATAAAGATGAAGTATACTAAATTCTAACAGACTATTAAGTATGTGTGGTTACATATTTATGTGTAATAGAAATCTACTTTTCACTCTTATTCAACAAGTAAGGGTTAATCATTAATAAGAAAGGCCTAGGAAAGAGGAGACTAGTCCTATGCTGAGAGGGGGGATGAATGGATGCTCTTCACTTCTGTTGCCAAAGTCAATTAGCTTGATCAAATTGTTCCCACTGTATTTTATTGAACAAATATAGTACTTTAAACAAAGGGAAATTCTTGTTGATATATGTGCCTGATTCTATGACTGTGTTGTGCTATTGAAATGGGGAAAAAAAGGTGAAAGTCTGTATATTTTTCATCTGTGTTAATCAACTTTGTGCTTTTCAGAACTTTTTTTTACTGTTGCAAGATTCTTTTGCTATTATCTTTAGTGATGACTGTACTTCTTCCTTTAGAGAAATTCTTCTTAGGCTACAGAACACATTAAAAATCTTCCTTTTCAAGTGCCTTAGAACTTACTTAATTCAGTGCAAATGTGGACCTATTTCCACATTCAAAGATACAATGTAAATCTCTCCCTATGGAAACCAGTCAAATGTAAACCAGTCCATGCAAAAAAAAACAGCTGAGTGTAAGAAAAAAAAAAAAAAAAAAAAAAAAAAACAGAATCATATTTAAAAACACTGTGATTTTTATTATTTTTATTTTCTTGGTCTAAGAATATTTTGAAAGGAGTAATGGATAGTATATCTTCACTCTTGTATTCTATACTTGTTTTTTTTTTTTTTTTTTTTAAACAACTCTTAGCCAATGACCAATGAAACTTGTGAAGTTTAGTTGAACTAGTGAATGGAACAGCCTCAGAATGAAAAAGTTCCCATCTTCTAAAGGACATTCAGCTAAGGAATTGTTTAGCTGACCACGCAGAGTCCCCCAAGCATAGCACCCTCCTCCTTTTCCAAGATTCCTGCAAATCTGATGTGAAAGACACAGTAGGGTTCGTAAATGCAGTATGTTACTGGCACCCAAATATCCATTGAGTCAGGACTAGCTGATGACCAGCAAACAATAAAGAACTGTCTAAATGAGCTGGGTGTCCAGGAGCTGCATGACTGCCTATAACTCTTAGAGATATTTACTGCTATTATAGATAACAAGGTTGGACTGAAGGAAACAAAAAGAGCAAGTAGACTCTATAGCTTTACTCACAGGAGAGATTGTAAAGCAAGTGTGTGGTTATAGGGACTAGGTAGCTGCTGAGATGAGGAGGGCCTTTCTTTTCAAAGCAAGCTTTTTTCTCACCCATGCAGACCTCAGCCAGAGAGACCAGTTTGCTATCAAGCCATCTTCATGAAACTGCCAGTGCCTGCCGTTGCTTTGGGGATAGCCATTGAAAGGAAGTGTGTTCACTTATAATGCAGTAAACTTTTGGGGTCCATTTATCAACTGAGATCAAAAGGGGGACTTCAGTGAAGCTCTTCCATCTAAACAAAAGTTGTCTTTATCTTTGCTGTACCAGATGCATGATCGGTTAGCCTGGCTAGATAAACTGCATTATCACTTGGAGTTAGAGGGAGAGGCTATAGTACTGGCTGTAGCAAATGATTCAGTGGTTACCAAACAACTTTCTCCTGAGCTTATTTCAAAAAAATCCTGAGAAGTGAAAGGATATAGTATGGATAGCATATGTGTATGTCTGTGGAGTCCTCTGTAATGTACTGTTACTTTATGGTGTATTTGTTTTATTCTCAGTTAACACATTGGATTCTAATTTTTAGTCTGTTATTATGTTATCTGTCTAAACATTAATATGAGCTTAAGTGCAAGTCTAGTATTGATTTCAAAGGAAGTTCCACTGAACTCAAAATGGTACAAGGCCAAGAGAAGAGAGCGCAAAAACTACTTCTCCATTGTGCACCACGAGCCCCATTCATGATAAAGCTATAATGTTACAACTTGCTTCGAGGACTGGGATAGTTCATGTTTTAACATTGCCAAATAAATATTACTGATCAGTGGATCAAACTCAGAATAGTAATAATAATACCTTCCAGTAATAATAAACTGAGTTTCTGTCATAGCTAAAAGCTTTTAGTATCTGTCAACAGCATTGCATACTTGTGGCAGATGGGTTCTCTTCAAGTCAGTGACAAAATTCAGTGGTTTCCATTGCTAACAGATGCCATGAATTTCTACCCTGTGATTGGAGATCAAGTCTGTAAAACATATACCCCGGAAATTAAAGCATTGACCTAAATGGGAATAAAACTAATAGACTCCAAATAATAGAGGGACAGTTCCTTCATCTATAACCTATTTTTAATCACTGAAATGACACATTTCAGCTGTGTCTGCTCTGTATGCTTTGCATTCTTAGAGTGCATTCATTAGTAAAACCATTACCTGATAATCCTGACACATCAGATTTAGGTAGATGTCTGGCTTTTAAAACAACCACAGTTAGTGTGTTTGTTGTAGACTGATAACAGAGAGAGATCAGTAATTCTCCACGCCCAGATGATTTCTGAGGAAGTGAAAGAAAAAAAGACAAGACATTTTATGAGCAGTTATCCTGACAGAGTTTAAAACTGGAATTAAGAATAAGATCTTCTTTAAATACCAAATTATTGTATTTGCTGAGCTGGTAAATGAAAATATAATTTATAGAGCTGTGCTAGTTTATATAGCAGATATTTTTCCCTCTACTGTAGTTACATAACTCTTCTTATGGTTTGCTAGTAGACAACAAAAATAACAAAAATAAATAAATACATAGAAAAAATAAAGTTAAAATATGATTTAATATAACATCATTAGTTTCAGAGATGAAAAAATAAATCCTAAATCCTGGGAAACAAACTCAGTGAAAGGAAAAGATCTTAAACAAAACTAAATGCTGTAAAAGACACATTAAAATTTGAATAGAGATAATTCACAAAAATCTTCAATAAAATCTTTTTACCAGCAAGAATTCAAACTGTTACTAAAGTCTCATCCCTATCACTCTCTAAAAGATTGTCATATAAATGGAATAAGATCAGATTTTCTGTATAATTATTAGACTTGAATTTGTAGAAGTAATATACTTATTTCACAAGAAGGAGGAAGGGAAGGGAAGTAAAAGGAAGCAATACTTTATACATCAGCAAAAACAGTAAGATATGAACAAAATATCGGTGATATGGTTATAGTTGTAATACAGGAGCAATAGAATTGCAAAATACCAATATCAGTTATAGGTATGTTGTCTGGTAGACATTTATTTGATTTGGCCATGTGCTTAGTCTTTGAAAACAATCAAATTGGAAGTCAATACACATTCCACTTTCTTGGTAGAGATTAAGAGATGTGTGTGATGCATAAGCATTTATGTGGTTCAGTTGTGATTGTTGTAAATGGTCTTTATTTTCTGAACCCGTATAAAAAAAGAAATTATTTTTGCCCAGTGAAGTCATTATGTTTTATCACTGACTTCAGTGAGGCTTTGGCTGCTCCCATATCCTTAGTAGAGCTGCTGCCTGTGTCACAATTCTTAAGAAAGAGGCAGGAATAGTACAGAACTATACCAACAGTATTGTTCTGTTAGGTCCCAATGCCATAACTAAAGAACATCCTTGTTCTTTATGAACCTGCTACAAAATCTATGGAGTTATGTGTTTACGTTGACTTTAATAACCTTTGAGAAAGAGTGACTTCAAACAGAAAAGAGGGAGGGAGAAAAGGTGGATAGTACACAAATCTTTGCATTATTTCCTTTTAAAGCAAGTTCATGTGGATTGAGGCCTCTTGACCTAATGTAAATGGAGCCACTCAAACCTACTGGATGAGCTGAATAAGGAGGTAGAGTTTAGGACACCAGCAGTTTCTTCTATTATGCTCACTGCAGTGTTCTTTTATTACATTTGTGTAACTGCTTCCTTATGCAGCCATTATGAAAGCATCAACATGATTCTTATGATTGACTTGCTCCCATTTCTTACTAAGGTGCTGACAGCATTACACAAGAATGATAGCTAAAACTAGCACAATACTCTTAAAGATTAAATAAAAACATGTTACCCTAACATTTCTTTTGATGATCTGGGAATGAGAACTTCTCCAATGACATCATCTCTGGAAAATCTGTCAAAGCTCAAGATCACGAAGTGAAGTGTTAAGTCTTGGATTTGACTATAGGGGATCCCATAAAATGTGAAAGTCTCATCAAAAGCTGGATCTAAGGTTTTTCTCAGCACTCTGGTTTTCACCTTGTGCTTCTTCTCAGGCAGGATTGTCATTTTGATGTAGGGATCAGAAGTCATTGACTGTTCATCCATTGCTGGCAGCCCACGTGCTTCTTTGATATTCACTACAAATGCTTTTTTCTCAAAGTTGTACTCTAAGGAGAAAAAGAGGGTTCCTAGTTTGTCTTGTTTTTCTTCAGATGACAGGGATGTGGTGGATTTTAAACTTTCAGGGGACACAGAATCTTTATTTCTTTCTGTAAAGTGTTTTGGAGACAAGTTTCCAGTATCTGGAGAGCTCTGGGTTTTCGGGGCTGTTTTGGGGAAGTTGCCATTAAGATCTCTCTTCTCCAGGTCAAGATGGAGAGAATTCTTTGGCATCACTGATTTGGTCTTTGTTTCACTTTTATCATCTGCTCCAAACTTCTTTTTACTGTTGAGATTTTCAGGGTAAATATCAACCCCCTTCAGAACATGGACAAACTTATATGGAGGGGTCTTATTGGATTTGGAAGATTTACGCTGGCAGCAGATCCAAGCAAAGAGGGAGACAGAGAAGACAAGGCCAAATGCACTAAAGATCCCAACCACTGTAGGAATTTCATCTGCAAATTAAATAAATAGCAACAAACACATAACTAGCAGTGTCTTGGACTCTATGTGATATTTCATAAAATAATAATTAAATAAAACAAACTGATAACAAGATACTAACAGCAGCTGAGCTTGCAGACTGAAATGCTTTTCATTATACATACTGCTCGCCACCTGCAGGCATAAATGGGGAAGTCCCATACAACAGTGTACTTATGTTAGTACTTTTCCATACACAATATGGTTGGAAGGAAAATACTATTCCTGTCCTAATAGTAATAACCATTAGTAATTGCTTGAGAATCGCTCATGTCTCTATGTGTAGTTTTTGACTTTATATGGAATAATTTTGCCTGAGTGAGTAATGCCAGCTTCGTCAGAAGGCTTCGGCTTTGAGTTTATGGAGCTTTGTTGGTTAGATAAAACAGATTCTGAAAAATGCATTACTTACAGATCCATCATCTACTTTCCTCACACTGCTTCCTAGAACACTCTGTACACTCAATTAACTCCTTTTTTTATGGTCTGATTCTATAATTGCCTGGAGGTATCTCTTGAAAGAAGGGAGTTTGGGAGGAGGTTGTAACACTCAATAGTTTTGATGGGATTTTCAGTAATTTGCAGGCGGATTTCTATGAAAAAAAATGTAGGATAGCTATATACCAAGTGTCTTTTCCAGATAGATGTGACATTGGATAGTCACATACGAGTCCAAAGGTGAAAAAACATCCTTAGTGTATCGTTGATACGTACTAAGCTTTCAATCTACAAAAGTATAGGTCAAAGCTATAGGAAGTTTACAGGCAGGATCACTAGTTTTTAGTAGTATATAAGAAACACATTAGAAAATATTTTTCTTCTACATTACCCTGAATCCTATACTGAAAGCTGCATCAAGAGAAAGTGTTACAACCTCAATTGCCATGTGGATACATTAACTGCACAGAGAGTATCGTTAGACCTTCACAACCATGCATTGAAGGGGCAAATGAGCTCAACTAATTGGAAATCCAATTTTGCCCATAAGTAACATTACTAAGTGAGTTTAAACCTCTCACAGTTTAACAATCAAAGCTAAATCATTATTCCCTGCACCAGTGAATGACTAGTAGAATATTAATGGAATGACATTGTTTATGCATAAAGGCAATTGTGTAACAGTTCAGATTCTCTGGCAAGCAATTAGCAGATCTTTCTGGATGAGAATAACAGCACTATCCTGCTCCATGAATGGCTAAATCTGTTGAAAACAGGTGAAAACTGGGCAGATGGACATGCTACATTTGCCTTTTAGTAGCAAAGCACATATATATATCAAACAAATTAGGACATAATGTTCCAGTACATAAAGAATCAGGCCTGCCAGTGAATTTCATCTAATGACAATCATGTCACTCGCCCTTTGCCTTCAAGCTGTATCATTCTATGTACTTAAGTGTAAGAACTCAATGAAATGATTGAAAATTGCATACATAACCAGAAAGCATTTTTTCTAAGTTAAGCACATGGCTCTGAGTTTCCTGAATTCCCTGAGCTGCAGAAATTAAAATATACATGGTAAAAATGTAGAAAACAAGAAGTAATTGGAAAATAATGCTATAAATAGCCTTTAAGTATGATTTGCACATTTCCAATACCTTTTAGTTAGATAACATTTTGACTTCTTGTGATGATGAAAATGATGCTATATTCTAATTCTACAGTGCCTGAAAGCAGTGGGAGGATCCATTTACTATTTACAATTTTAAGTATCTTTAAATAAGTAATTAGATGATCATGATGTCACAAATGTAGTTAGAAACATCTAGTGGGTGGGGTAGGAAAGAAGATGTAGTGGTAACTCAAGATTTCACATTTACAACTAATATTGCATTTCTTGCTTTTGTCATAAGACAAATCAACTGGTTAGTTATTCAAGATAGTCTATTAATAGGAAATGATATCTATTGATCCTGGGGTAAATTGTTACATGATGCAAATCTGGAGTCACTTCACTTAGGTCCATGGAATAACCCTTGAATTAAAACACTGTGAAAGCAAACAAAACCTTGGCTAGAGGCAAAATCTGTAAAGGAGAGACACAATATATATATGCATGCACGTATGTATGTGATATATATATATATATGCATACACATTTTACCAATGCACATATATGACTGCTTCTGAAACTTTCTGTCACCTACCTCCAGTGATTAGAAAAGACGGAGTTGAAAAGTTCATTGTTATCATTGTTGTCTTCAAAAAAACCAGATTAATCAAATGCATGCATTTACTAAAAGAAAAAAAGTGGGATCCTGCATTTTCATGCTCCTAGCAAGATCCTAAATAAGACTATCTCTTCCTTTGGCTTACAGCTCACAAGTCTTCTCTATAGCAAAGTCTTCTCCATAAGCAAAGAAGGCATGACAATTATTCCAAAAATAGCTTGAACAGAGATATTTCTGTGAGCCCTGGGATGTGTTTACATCCTTTAACTCTGAAGCCACGTTACTTTAATCAGAGACAGAGAATACAATGCCTAATCACCCTGATCCTGAAACGCACCCACCCAGACCTCTTCCTTTCTCCCAGTGCGTTACAGTGGGTAGGGGCTAAGGGGAGAAACAGAGAAGGAGAGGAAAGCAAATTCACGCAACTTCTGGGCTGGAAGGGAACTGGGAGAAAGGCGGCTCCTCCAAAGTCGCTCCATGTGGGAAGCACGGGGGTGGCTGGACATGGGCTGTGCGCGGGCACCTCGTGCCGGGACGCGGTAGCCCCGAGGGGCGGCCGGTTGGGTCGGGACGGGCTTACCGAACTGCTGGCGACTGGCCGCGATC